TAACATGTAATAACTGTCATGGTTTAGATCTAAAATGTCCCCCAAAGGTTTTGTGTGCTCAGAGTCGGGGCTTTTGGAAGGCGATTGGATCATGAGGGTCCTACACTCATCAGTGAATTAGTCCATTGATGAGTTCATAGCTGACTATGCTTCTCCAAGGTGGGGCCTCGTTGGAAGAGGTGTGAACTGGAAGGGTGTATTCTTATCCCAGGATCTTCTTCTCTCCTCTCTCTCTCTCTCTCCCTCTCTCTCTCTTTTCTGGCTGCCACATCATTCTACCATTCTGTTTCTGCTTTAAAGCCAGATAAACATGGACTGATTCCTCTGGAACTATGAGCCAAATTGGACCTCTCTTCCTTTAAGGTATTTTGTCCCGGTGACAGGAAAGTTGACTAATATCTGTACAAATTTATGGGATACACTGTGATATTTTGATATATGTCTATACATATAATGATCAAGTCAGGTAAGTAACATATCCATTACCTCAAACACTTATCATTTATTTGTGATGGAATATTCAAAATCTTCTAGCTATTTTGAAATATACCACATGTTATTCCTGGCTATAGTCACCCTGCTATGCAATAAAACATCAGAACTTATTAATCCTATTTAAATGTAACTTTTTACCCAGTGACTAACCTCTCCCTAATCTTCCTCCCCCACTTCCCACTCTTTCTAGACTCTGGTAATCGTTATTCTATTTCTATGGTGTTTCTTTTTTAGATTTCACATATAAGTGAGACCAGGCAATATTTGTCTTCCTGTACCTCATTGCAGTTAGAATAGCTATTATCAAAAAGACAAAATACGGCAAATGTGGAGAAAAAGGAACCCTTACACACTGCTGATGGAAATATAAATTAGTATAGCTATTATGAAAAACGGTGTGGAGGTTTCTCAAAAAATTGAAAACAGCCAGGTGTGGTGGCACACATCTGTAATCCCAGAACTTAGAAGGCTGAGGCAGTAGGATCGCCATGAGTTCGAGGCCAACCTGAGCTACATTGTGAGTTCAAGGCCAGCTTGAATTACACAGTGAGATCTTGTCTCAAAAAAATCAAAAAAATAAAAACAGATCTAGCATGTGATCCCAATTGTCTCCAGGGAGGCCTGTTCTGTTTATGCTTCCTGGTGATAGATGGTCCAGATAAGGGTGCATCTATCCTGACTCTGTAAATAAGGTGACTTGCTTAAAGTTGCTCAACTGCAAAGGGGCAGCATAGATAGGATTAAAATGGGGGTCCTCTGTTTCAAAACCGCTCACTCATTTCCAAGTGGAGAGGGAAATTTTGACTAGCATATAAAATTGGAGGAGAAACATCCCATGTGCCCTTCAAAAGAATTCAAGTTTGATTGCCTAAACTTTTAGTCCAAGAACCTAAGTGCATCTACAGTGGTCATCTGTTGTATTTGTTGCCCAATATGCTTTTCCCTTCCTATGTCACTTGTCCTTCACCACATAGCCACCTCCTTCCCCCATCTAGCCCATGTGCTAAGAGAGTCACATTCTCCAGATTCCTCAGACAACTAGGACAGGGGACAGTCCTATCACACTGGCTGTCTCAGGTGATCCATAAAACCGCAATAAGATTTCACTTTCTTTCTAGGACTTTGGCCACATGACTTCAGCCTGAGAGGATATAAGTTCTTAGATACTTCCACTGACTTACCACCTTCAAAGAACAGCTTTTCTAAGAAAAGTTCCAGTAAAAGTAAAGCCAAGAGCTGGAGAGAGAACAAGGCCCTGATGGTATCTTTGGAACACTGCGTCAATCTGAGCCTGAAGCTCACTTACTCTCAAGAGTTCATTAATTAGAGTTTCACTTAAGGTTGGTTTTTCTGTCACTTGGAACTAAAAGAGTCCTGGTTAATGCACCATCACATTGCTCTCCTTTGAAATAAACATCAGACTTTTCTGAGAATAAGCCAAGATCAGTGAGGTTTGGGCTTTGCTTTTAAGCATAAACTAGATAAAATTATTTATTCTCTTCAGAGCTGTACACACCAAGGGGCCTTTCCTTGTTAGACATGCTTTGTATACCAGAGGACAGTGCACCAGCATGTCTCCTGAGTTCATAACCCACTTGCCTACACTGTTGTCAGAAAACAACCACAAAATGGCAGTGAATACTCATTTGATTATATACTCAGATGCTACCTGTTATGTAAACGATGGTTTGGGATGTATTGAGAAGGGGATGTGCAGGCCAAGTGTAAAGGTGACTAAACACAGAATGAGTCAGTCATGTATCACATTCACTTACTTTTTATTACTTGGGCAGTAGGTTGAATTATGATACACTCCCCCCAAAGATGGGTCTATGTCCCTGGAACATGTAAATATTGACTTTATTACAGAAAAAAAACTCTATTATCTTATATGAGGAAAGATGTGATCAAATTAAGGATCTTGAGAGAAAGAACTTATCATGTATAATCCAGGTGGGCTCCAAATGCAATCCAATCACATGCAAGACAGGCATAAGAAGAAAATTATACACAGAGGAGCAGGAACTGTGAAAATGAATGCGAGAGATGAGACCACAAGCCAAGGAGTGGTACCAGCCGCTAGAAGCTGGAAGAGATAAAGGATAGACCTTCTTTTAGTGCTTGCAAAGGAAATAGGTTCCTACTTGTTTTCAGACTGCTGGCCTCCAGAATAAAAACAGAAATTTTTTCTATTATTTTAAGCCACTTCTTTTGTGCCCATTTGTTATAGCAGCCACAGAAAACTAATGCACTTTTAGAGCAATTTTCAGCCATTGAAATTAATTTCAGTTCAGACATTTAGTAAGGGAAATGTCACCAGAGAACCACAGACAACTAACAGATGATGTTCCAGATCACTGCACATATTAACTCACTTAACCTTTATAACAATTTTAGGAGATGGATATTATGTAACGATGATTCCTATTTACAGAGAAGAAAACTAGCCACAGTGAGATTAGGTCAGCCCAAGGTTACACAGTTATGAAATAGCAGAGTTGGGATTCACAGGTGGCATTGATTCTAGAGTGAGTATATGCTTTCAAATACTTTGTTCTACTTCAGTCTTGATGTGGAAAAAAAACAGTTGCATAAGCACCTATCCACAACAGTAGCTCACATCTCTGCTGCTACCGTTTGTATCTAGATGTCTTCCAGAACCTCGTGCCGGGGGCAGGGCTTTTGCAAAGTGATTAAGTTATGAGGAAGCTACAGCTGACTTGCTGTTAGGAGGTGGGTCATAGTTAGAAGTGGTTCCCTGGGGGCGTGACCCGGAAGGGCACCTCTCCCTCCCCAGCTCCTCCCTCTGCTCTCTGCTTCCTGGCCAAGATGTGAATAGCTCTCCTTCACCCGCCCTCCTACCATGCCATCCTTAAAGGCAGCCAACCATGAACTAAAAACATGAGCAAAAATAAACCTCTCCTCCTTTAATTTGTGTGTGTTGGGTATTGCCTCTCAGCGCCTAGAACCTGGCTAAGATACCTGCTTTCACATTCAAATCACCCGAGAACCTGGAGAAATACTAAAGGGGAAGAGCCACCCTAAAGGTAAGTTTACCAAAATTTTGGGCATGCAACCTTGAGCAGCAGCAGTTTTTAAGGATTTCCCTAGATAATTTTAATGTGCACCCAGTTTAAAATCAATGACATAATGACTCCCAATGGCAGGCATAATTAATTTTTTTAAATATGCATTTGTCAGATGTTTCGATTCTCCAGAGGATATGTTCACACAGAGAAAGTGAATTGCCAAACCTAGTAAAAGGCTTCATTCAGTAAAACTACATTTTTCCTGTAAGAGTGGTTGATCAATTTATTTTCTTTAATATATTTTTATTTTTAACTGATACATAGTAAATATGCATATTTATGAAGTACGATATGTCCTTTCAACACATGTGTACAATTCTAACAGTCAGTGGCTGATCAGTATCTATCATGGATTGTTTCAAAGGCAAGGCTGCCTAGAAATCAACAATTTGTAAAAAAAAAAAAAAAAAAAATTGTTTTTATTTTAGCATTGGAGAAATGGGGATGTATCTGAAAAAAATGGAGAAAGAACAGAGACAGATAAAAAGAGAATTCACCCACATCTCCAGGACCCAATCTGGTAAATTTCTGGTCAGCACTGGTCTGGAGATCTATAACCTAAAAATTCAGAGTAGAGCACCTTGGGAACTCTTCTTTTTGGAACTGTCATAGAACAAACTTAACGGTTGTTGTTCTTCCAGTAGGACCCCTGGGCAGAAAATAGCTCACCATGAGGATCAGCTCAACGTTAAGGAATGCTCTGACACTGGACCCAATTCCAGAACAAGGGACCCATTCCAGAACAAGAGGCATTTGGCCTCCCTCTTCCTGAAGTGCCTTTACCCTTCACTTGGCTCTTCCAGCTCATGTGAGTTTCCTAGGGATGTTATACCAAATTGCTCTAAACTGTGTAGCTTAACAATAGAAATTTGTTGTCTTATAGTTCTGGAAGTTTGAATTCCAAAATCAAGAAGTTGGAAGGGGCCATGCTCCCTCCAAATGTTCTAGGGAAGAATACTTTCTTAACTCTTGCTCACTTCCAGTGATGGCCAGCAAACTTTGGCACTCCTTTCACTCATAGGAGCATCACTCCAATTTCTATGTCTGTCTTCATATCGCTGTCATCCCATTGTCAGAATCTCTGTCTCACCTCTTCTAAGCACACCAGTTATATTAGATGTGAGAGCTAGTCTCATCTTAATTAATTACCCCTGCAAATACTCTTTTTGCCAATAAGTATGTAGTATAAGTTTCTGGAAAGAATATACATTTAGTTTCAAGCCTGTAATTCATAAGCATCTCTTGGGATCTCCCACTCTGTGTTTCCCACTCTGTGTTTCCCACTCCATAGCCCTTGGCCCACCTTGCCACTTGCCACTATGTGGAGACATAGGACTTGTGGAAAGGAAGTCACTATTCTGCCACTATTTTTAGCCCTCCACAGCCTAGAAACTTGTAAAATGGGACCCTATGATCATTTCACATCAGGCTTAAGGATGGAAAAATAAATAGGATTACAGCGAAACAAAGCAGTTGCCCTGGGAAAATTGGTGGAAAGTTTAGAACCACAAATGAATGGGCTTAGGCATGACATGAGTACAGCAGAGGCCACTGAAACCAACAAATCATCCAATATTACAGATGATCAAACTAGCATAGATAAATTCTAAATGCCATTGGTAGGACTTCTACTTCCCATCAGCTCAAAATAATAAACACTGGATTTACCCCCCAGGATAGAAAAAAAAAAGGCAAATTATGTGAAAGAATGATTTACAAAACATGGAAATTAGTGAAATACAGTGTGATTCCTGAGAAACAAAAGCAAATGATATGAGCCATATAACTAACATAGCTTACTTCTTTGAAAGAAAGTCTAGGATCTGGTACAGGGAAGAGCATCCCATACTAAAGCTAGACTTCCAGAGTTGTCAAAACAGAACTGAGATTTTATGAGGCCAAGATGTAGCATTCTCAGGACAGAGTACAGAAGAAGAGAAACACACACAAAGTCTTGCAGAGGGTCTCCTCCAAGCATTCAGCAGGATGCTCACTAGAGCTTTGTGTGGGGAAAGACTCACTCAGAAGGATTAAAGGGAACAGCACCCTGTGCTCACGCATGGCCAGGAATAGGGCTTGTTTTCCCCAGCCAGATAGAAAACCCATACTACATCAGGTATTGGGTAGAATATTCACAAAGTATTCCTCCGGGAAGAGGATTGATTAACCTTAGCACCAGTACTCTTCTGGAACCACCTAACAAATTAGATGAAAACCTAGAAGAATCAAATTTTCTCTAAATAATTTAACTGTGTCCTAGAAGAAACCTCAAGAATTTTTACAGAAATGTAAAAATATCTAACATCTAACAAGGTACACCTTCTGACCATCCAATGAAAGATTACTAAGCATGTAAAAAGTGGGAAAACGTGACCCATAATGAGAAGATTAATTAATCAATTGAAACTGATAAACAAATGTCATAAGATATCATGAATTAACTGTTAACATTAACAGTCAATGACACTAAAACAGCTATTGTAACTATGTTCTATGTGTTCATAAAATTAAGTAGAGAAGTGGAAGATAGAAAAAAAATCCAGACTTATAGAGACAAAAACTACAGTGTCTGATATGAAAATTGCCCAGATGGAATTAACAGATAAGATACTGCAGATCCTAAATTGGGTCACCCCATCCATTCAGCCTCTGGTGTGAGCCCTCTTAGCAGCAGCACAACATGGCAGATGTGATGATAGCAGGAGCACCTGTAAGAAGGCAAGTCACATGGGAAGACAGAAAGGAAGAGATAGTCAGAGGCCAGACTTGCTCTTTTGTAACAACTCACTTGTGGGAGAACTCACTTACTCTGCAGGACCAACATTAACCTTTCTCAGGATGATGCCCCAGTGACCTAGATATATCACTCTAGGTTCTATCTGTTGAAGGTTTCACCACCTCTCAACATCACCATACTGAGGACCAAGCATCCAGTGCACAAACCTTTGGAAAACAAACCACATCCAAACCATAGCAGAACCCATTAAAAGAAATACAAAGAAGCCACGGAATATATAATTTGGGGAATTATTCATTCTCCCCACTTCATATTTCTCTATCTTCTTTTTCTTCATGTTTTCTTTAACATTTACTAGAAACTATGTACAATAAATTCAATAAATTTCAAAAATATTTCAATATATATGCTAATTTGCTTTATTTATACCGGTTCACCCTCTTAGTTCATTGAAAAGAAAGTTTTGTGCTATTATCTATTTGTTTCTTTTTTGTAAGAGACTTTTTTGTCTATGACTTGTACTCTAACATTTTGGCCATTCTTTTAAGTTATGGCACACAGTGTATTAACTAACGTTATTCTTTAATTAATTTATTATGAAATTTTATTTTTCATAGAGGTAAGAAGATTGTTTTTTAAAAAATATTGTCTTTTTTAAATATCTACTTGAATTACATTGAAATAAAGTTTCTCCAAACCAAAAAAAAAAAAAATACAAAGAAATCTACACCTAAGAATATATCAACCAAATTGTTCAAAACCAGGGACAAAAAGAAAATACTAAAAGCAGCCTGCGATTAAAAAATATCAGGTACAAAGAAGCTAAGATAAAAGCTTGAAAGAATTTAGCCATGGTCTCCATGTGGTCTCTGTTCACAGTGGAATAAAATTAGAAATTAATAACAAAATATTTGGAAAAGCCCTACATATTCAGAAATGAAGTTAACATCCTTCTGAATAACTCTCAGGTAAGAGAAAATATGAAAAGAGAGATTAAAATATTTTGAAATGAATTTAAATGGAAACAATGTATCAGAATCTGTGAAATGCCGTAAAATGGTATTAAGGTGAGATTTATAACAATAAATGTCTAAAGTAGATGAAAGAGAAGATTTCTAAATAACTTACAGTATTCCATAGTTGTAAATAATACCTCAGTTTCCACCTTGAGAAATTAGAAAAAGGAGAACAAGTTAAATCCAAAGTTAACAGAAGAAAAAGAACATTAATGATCAAAACAAAACAATTAAGAAACAGAAAATCAATAGAGAAACTCAATGAAACCAAAATCTGATTCTTTGAGATCAAGAAAATTTGATAAGCTCTAGTCAGATATATCAGAAAAAAATTAGAAGGCATAAATTACCATTAACAAAAATTAGGTGACATCCCCACAGCTTCAACAGATATTAAAAGGATGTTTGTATGAACACTTTGTCGTGTAATAAGGTTGCAATGTTAAGGTATCTTCAACATCTTAACTTGAAGGAGCACTATGAAAGAGGACAATTTCAGAAGTTAGTGGTGTCACAGTGGCTTAGTGAGGGAGGTCTTACACATGAGATGTGGCTTTTGAAATCTCTCCAAACAGTGCCAATTTATGGGAATGTCTTGTTCTCTGTTCACTGAATAATCAGTTTATAAGGTATTTTTTAAATACTGTAATATCAATATTATTTATTCTATTACCTATAGGATGAATTAAATACATTAGTGATATAAGAAAAAAGCAAACCTAAAACATCAGCTATTCACATCACTTTATATTACAATCATTATCAATAGTAATCCATTCATAACAAAATAGATTTCTTGAGTATAATCCATATGTGCTACTTTTTAACTAAATGACTTTACTCAGTTCCAAACAGACATAGTCATTCGATTCAACTGTATGTGATATCTAATTCCATTGATTACAATTGGTCCTCATCTGTAGACTATCTAAATAACATCTGGTGTTCCACAGTTGTAAATAATACCATAATAATAAAGACATTTCTTTCTTTTGTATTATTTCCTTGAGTATTTCCCTTGTGTTGAATTCCTGGGCATTTCCCCCACTTCTCCCATGAAAAACAAAAATTGAACATCTTTTCACATCTTATTAAAACATTGCCAAATTAGCTTCACAAAAAGTTTGAGCAATTCTCAGTGGCACAGGGCCACAAGTCTGCCTATATTTTTTATCTTTACTGGAGTATAATTAATATACAATTCACTAAATGTATTTAAAGGGTACAATTTGACAAGTTTTTTGTTTGTTTGTTTGTTTGGCACTGTTGGAGATCAAACCCAGGGCCTTCATACTTAGCTACATTCCGAGCCCTTTTTTATTTTATTTTGAGATAGTGTCTTAGATCACTTTAGATTATTTGAATTTCATAAACATTTATGTAAATGGAATAATAAATCCATTATGAGTCGCTCTGAGACTTGGGCACAGAGTAGGTAAGTTTTGAAGCGCAGAAGTAAGATTGTGTGCTGCTGTTAAAAAAAAGACAGGCAGAGAAAATGAGGGAGAGAAACAGACCGTACACAGAAAAGGGTCTGGAAGGTGGTTGGCGGTTGGGGAAAATGTCAAAAACAAAATTTCCTATTTTATTCATAGTGACTCTGAGGATCACCCTGGACAACATGGAGAAATATAATGGAACAATTTTGAAAATGGCCCCGAGCCTGACTTAAGGCTTAGGTACCAGAGGCGAATGACATGCCATAGACACAGAAGATGTTTAGAATTACAAGTGGAGGAATATTCCAAGGCTGAGTAAGTAGAGTACAGAGGAATTTTAAATCACAGATCAGCAGATGGGCCCCTTTTCCTGACAGAATATCACAACACCCCCCCCCGCAGTAAATCTGAGACTAGATCATCCTTTGAGGACCAGCTCAAGTGCGTGCCTTCACACCTTCTCCCCACTCGTCCCCATCAATGCTCTGCTCTGCAGACAATTGTGAAATTGCACTAATAACCAAGGACAAAATGAGATAACCAATGTAAAACATGTAACATAATGCCTGGAACACCCAGAGCTCAATAAATATTGGCTTCTCTGTTCCTTCTCCCCCTTCCATAACTAAATGGAAGGCAAATTGCACTTTTGGCCTCAGTTCAGAGGTTTTTAAAACTTAGAGCTTCTGTGTTGAATTGAGCCTCATGAAAGACCCCTGGGTTCAGGACAGAAACTTTTTAAACACCTTGACTCTGGACTTTTGAGGTCCTTGTCACTATACAAGGCAGGCAGTCAGCAGCAGAATGGAAAGTGCCCCAAGTTGCCAAGCTCTGGCAAAAACGCACAGGTAGGCAACATTTGTGCTCTGTGTAGTAACAGAAAACATTCATGGTCCCCCTCCACTTGTTCCTTCCACTGTCCCTTACACATCCCTCTCGGAAGGAGCAGTGAACTGCCTGATTGGTCAGTTTGAGAAGAGGACCTCTCAAAAGGTGGACAGTTCAGCCCTTCTACCTTTTCAGCATAGGCACTGCTAGGAGAGGCCAGTAGTTGTCTAGCTATGGTTTTTGCTGTATAGTTCTGAGATACAGTGTCAGGAGGCCCAAAGGATCCAAAATCTAAATAACTTTCTCCAAACCAGTTTTATCAGTACTGAGTGGTAATTCATCTCTAGCTGCCTAATTCCTGGGTTTATCTCTTAGTTGGTCCTGAACTTGGATGAGGAAGAGAGGTTGTTACTTAGGAGTCCCCTCAAAACCCACCCCCCATCTGCCCTCTGTCCCGTGTACAAACACAGACAGGCACCACGGCCCTCAGTATATTTCAGTGGCATGAACGTGTACCCTTCCGGTTCCTTTCCCACTCTGTTTGCATCTTCCTTGTCTGGTACTCTTGAGCTGACACTGCCACAACCCAAGTTTTGCACCAAATATAGTGACAGACACAAGCAAGCGATGGATCTTTCCTGCCCACTCCTGAGAACAAGCAGCAGGGTGATTTGTCCTCTGTGTCTCCCGTAAGAGCTGGCAATCCTAAGCATGTGTAACTCATAAAGGTTCGAAGTCCTGGCTTCAAGCCTGGCCTTCCTCTTCCTTGCCGTGTAACCTTGGTACATGTCACCAACCCAGATCATTGTTTCCCCAATTTATTTGTTCTTTAAGTTAGATTTAAAATATGCAAGAAGTTGGCTGTCTCTACCACATTGTAAGAGTGAAACAAGCAAGAGCTCCAAAGTTTGTTTACATTTTTGACAAACATAGCTATATATTTTTTTCAAATGTGCTTCTGATGTAATTCCATTTAAAATGAAAACTCCAATGCTCCCACTATTTGCCGTAAGGGTTTAAATAAAGAATTCTAAATACTTTAAGAATTCTCGGCTCTCCAAGCTGCAACCAACCAGGTGAGACAAGCAGCTTGAAGCTCCGCAGCTGTCCAGGGCCCCGCCCACACCACGGTGCGGGCCGCTTAACCACGCAGGCGCAGGCGCCTCCAAGGCCCAGTCCACCACCCCACCCCCCCACCGCCCTGCGCTCCTGGGCCTTCTGGCTTTTCTGCTACCCGGTCCCACACTACAGAGGCACAGGAGATTATAAAGACCCTTGTCCTGAGGGCCACAAGATAGAGCAGAAGTTAGTAACAGAAAGAGGGCTTCTCAGGCTCCTCGATGAAAACTGAAGCTCAGCAGAAAAGTAAAGAGAATCTCTACAATAAAGGCACATCAGACCACTGTACTTGGTCTGCTGCTGGCTTGCTGAGACTCATTGACTCGTATATGCACACAGATTCCTACATTGCCTACTGTGACAACAGAGACACACCCTAAAGGAGGCCCATAATTTTTATTGCTATTTTGCAAAAAAGAAAAATAAATTTTTTTCTCTTATTTTCAATTCTTAATTTTTACTTTTTTTTACTCTTCAAATTTTTACTTTTCTTTCCTTTATCTTTTCTTTTTCTCTCTCTTTCACTCTTGTCTCTCTGTCCCACATTACTCCTCATCTCCCCATTTGTTCCTTTATGCACTGAATTCGGATTTCTCCCTTATTGTTCTTTTCTTCTCTTTTTCCTTCTCTTATCATTAGGTTTAAAGGAAAGTAAATTTGGTATCTAGCCTCCCTGTTGCTGTTAGGTAATTCTATTCACATCTTTGTTCTTTCATTCTGCCTTTTTCTCTTGCCTTTAACAACTTCTTAGAGTTTGTGTGATCTTTCTGTATCTTCTGGCCTCACCGCTAATCTTAACTGTTCTTTCTACCTGTCCCTCCCTCCCCAACTCCTTTTAACTCCCCACCCCGAAGGGGAAAGATGCTATATTGAAAAGTTTATTCATTATAAACTTATGTTGGGTTGGTTCTTGGTTTTAATTTAACTCACATAGTTAAATGTGATAGGTTAATAACTACCACAAATTGTCATTTTCTAAGCTGTGCTTGATGCTATGGTATTGCTGACTATGTCATTTGGGCTAACATGTTGTGATTGATCTAATTGGTTTTCCTTCTTGGTATAAGGAAAATAAAATACCCTCAGAGTCATTAGAGCCTCAAAATCCAAACACTAGCTATATCTGGAAGACACATCTGAAAAGCAATCATTCCACAAGGGTTTTAAACACAAGCAACAAAGATACCTACATTAAGCAATTTTGAAATATCAACCCAGGAATTAAACCAAGGACAGTACCAAAAACAAATATGAGAAGACACTTAAGCAAGGCACAAACACAGGCTTCCATGCCACAAAAAGGAAATTCTGGGGGAAATGAGGTGGAAAAGTCGGATAAGCAACCACTTGGACACCCTGAACTGATAGCACAAGAAGTAACAAAGCAGATGCATGAGGCTCTAGAAAAATTCAAAACAGAAATAATCTCCCAGATAAATACAGACATGGTAAGCAGAGAGAAAGACATGATTAGAAGCTCTAGAGCAGAAACAGATAAGAAAATAGATGAGATCAGAAACATGCTGGAAGCCATGAATGCCCAGCCTAAGAAAGAAATGGAAACCATGATTACCCAACATAAGAAAGAAATAGAATCCATGAAACAGATTCAAACAGATATTCAGGAGATTAAAAACTCCATTGAAAGCATGCAGAGCAGACTAAGAGAATCTGAAGACAGAATATCAGATATAGAAGACAGGATTGCAGTTAAGGACCGTGAAAACAGAGATTTCTTAAAGACACTAAGGGACCATGAGAAATCAATCCAACATCTACTAGATGATGCAAAGAAGAATAACATAAGACTGATAGGAGTCCACGCAAAAACAGGAGAAAGTACAATTGACATAAAACAACTGTTCACAGAAGTAATAGTAGAAAACTTCCCAGACAAAGGTAGAGAATTGAACATACAGATAGGTGAGGCATATAGAACTCCAACCAGCCATGACCAAAAAAATCTACACCTAGATATATAATAGTCAAGATCCCAGAGACCCAACAGAAGAAGAAATTCTACAGGCAGTTACAGCAAAAAAACAAATCACCTACAAGGGAAAGCCCAACAGAATCACGGCAGAATTCTCAACACAAACCCTCAAATCAAGAAGAGCCTGGAGTGAAGTATTTCAAGCCCTAAAAGAAAATAACTTCCAAACTAGACTGTTGTATCCTGCAAAATTCTCTTTCAAAATCAATGGGGAAATTAGATACTTTCACGACAAAGAACACCTGAGAAATTTTGTGAACACCAAATGAGCACTCCAAACAATTTTATGCAATATCCTAGAAAAAGACAATGAAGGTCACAACTCCATGAGGCCAAGCAGAGAGAAGGCATCATGCAAGGTAAGACACTAAAGTGAAAGGGGGGGAAATAAGAAATAAAAGAGCCAACAACCATAAAACATCATGACAAGGATGAGTCAATATCTATCAATTATAACTATCAATGTTAATGGCCTCAATTCACCAATCAAAAGAAATAGACTGACAGAATGGATTAAGAAGCAAAATCCAGCAATATGCTGTATACAAGAAACACACCTAACTCAAAAGGAAATCCATACACTGAAAGTAAAAGGATGGAAAACAGTTCCCCACACGACAGGAACCCAGAAAAAAGCAGGCGTGGCAATCTTATTTGCAGACAACATAGATTTCAAACCAAAACTAATTAAGAGAGACAAAGATGGTCACTACATCTTTGTGAAGGGAACAATCCAAGAGGAAAAGATGACAATCCTAAATATATATGCACCAAATACGAATGCTTCCAACTATATAAAACAAATATTAATGGACATGAAAAACCAAATAAGCACTAATACAATTGTAGTGGGGGACATCAACACCTCTTTATCACAAATAGACAGATCAACTAGAAGAAAAATTAACAATGAAATTCTAGAACTGACCCAAGCTATGAACAAATGGACTTAATAGATGTTTACAGAGTGTTCCACCCCACAAAATCAGAATACACATTCATTTTATCTGCACACGGGTCATTCTCCAAAATAGATCACATGCTAACTCATAGGACATATCTAAGTAAATGTAAAAGAATTCAAGTTAACCCCTGTATATTATCAGACCATAGTGCAATACAATTGGAGATCAATAACATAAGAAACCACAAAACTCCCACAAACACATGGAAATTGAA